TATAAGTAGTAGCAACAAATTCATCAAAACTCATTTTATAACTTATTCAAATTTATAAACTACCGTAAAAATAATAATCTAAAATAAAATTTCTAAAAACTACATATTGGAAAATTGAAATTCATGAATCTAAAACTATATGGACCGGATCTAATGCTTTTGGGCTTGAAATTAATAATGGATACAATTTATATAATATATTTCGGTCTGGACCGGAAAATTCCGGGTCAAACCCGGATCGGACCGGAAACCCGGAATCCCTAATTTGTAAAACCCGAGGACCGGACCTGAATCTTCCGGACCGGTCCGGACCGGTCCATTCCGGTCCAGTTCAGGTCCAAAATCCGGTCCAGACCTGTTTTTGAACACCCCTAGTTGTAACTATCTAACTACTCCATATGAAAGAGGAAAAATAGTGCACATTTATCAAAACATAGGGGTCTTGCAGAAATTGACCGGTGAGAAAGCACCAAACCTCTCCTCCTCGCTATATTTCTTCCGCCGAGATTCTGGGTATCCGCCAACCAGTGTACCCAAAATCCCTGCCCACCAATCAATCGAAGAACAAAAGGAGAAAATCACCTTCTTTTTGTTTCATCTGGAAAAAGAAGAAGAAAAGAACAAGAAACAATCGAACCTTTCTGCAATTCTGCATTTCTGTGCCGAGGGTTTAATCATCAAGAAAGACCATCTTCTCGGTCTCCCTCCGAGTCAATCCTACTGTACGTTATGTGTAATCACTAACCCTTTTGTATCTTTTCCACAAATTGGTTCCATTTTTTTCGAAACAATTCAACATTTGGTGGTGTGGTAATTAATTCATCTGGTTTTACATATTTTCTTTCATTTATGTATATAATGTATGTATAACACTTGTTCTTGGGATTTGACTTGTCTATCTATTCATGTAGACATTTGAGCTGGTTCTGTTTCTCGATTAAAAATCTGTTCTTTCTCATTTTTCTTCTTGGATTTCAATTTCTTGTTTGGTTCTGTTTTTTGTAATCTGTTACAGCAATGATATATGCCTTCTGATAGAATTCTAGAAATGACCCGACTTTTTTGTGTTGTCGAGAAATTCTGGCTTTGGTTGTTTGATATTGTGTTAGGAAGATCAATCCATATTTATTCTCTAATTTATCAATGGGTTTTTCTTTGCATGTGCTTTCTTGCAGAGAAAATTCACCCTCTTGAAGATGACAATTCAAAATGTTAAACAGACTAAAGAGAGGAATCTGAGGAAGAGCAATGGATATGGGGTTAATGAGAAGTCGCCCTTGTTGCCTAGCAAGCACAACGAAGGTGGTGGATTTGACGAGTTTAACGGGGCTTCTTTCAGCGGAGCCGTGTTTAATTTGTCAACCACAATTGTAGGCGCCGGAATCATGGCATTGCCAGCAACTATGAAAGTGTTGGGCCTTTTATTGGGGATTGCTGTGATCATAATTATGGCTTTCCTAACAGAAGCTTCAATTGAGTTTTTAATCAGGTTTAGTAGGACCGCTAAATCAACTTCTTATGGAGCTGTTATGGGGGATACCTTTGGGAAATATGGGAAAATGATGCTCCAAATATGTGTAATGGTCAACAACATTGGTGTTCTTGTTGTCTACATGATTATCATTGGTATGAGAAGTCTCTTCTTCATTTTTACTACCGTCTCAATTGAAGATTCATATTTGAAAAATTACTTTTTTTGTCTCCAAAAAAGTCTCCCAAATAAGCAATGCCGAGAAAACCCAATATAATTCTAAGACTTACCCCTGTAAAAACAGAGAAGTTGTTTCCTCAAGACTCTTGATGCATTACTGCATTTACCACCTAAAACTACATAGAAAGTAAGATGAAAAGGAAGTATTATGTGCCATTTTGATTTAGTTCATTATTTTCTAGGAGCTGAAACATTGTCAAGTAATGACTACTTTAGCTAAAACATTGCCAAATTATGCATATAATGTTCAATCAAACCATCAAATAAGTTTTGAAGTGTAGTTAGGATTGGAGATATCAAATATTTGTACTTCACTAAAAATTTAAAAGTTTTACATTAGTAAAACACGACTCTTTCTTTCTCAGAGGGATGTAGTGTTTCTTTTAAAATCACATTCATATAATTATTACATGCGCTTTTAATAGTTGCTATCCTATTTGTTATGTAAAAAGGTGATGTGCTTTCTGGAACAACTGAAAGTGGAGTTCACCATAACGGTGTTTTGGAAGGGTGGTTCGGGGTACATTGGTGGAATGGAAGATTCTTTGTACTTTTGGTTACTACCCTCAGCATATTTGCACCATTAGCTTGCTTAAAACGCATAGGTATTTCCAATAATGTAGGAGTGTTTGGTCTATAACCCCTCCCATTTCTTCTTATTGTTTTGCAGTCTTGCATGTCTAATCTTTTTTGTCATTGCAGATTCATTGAAATTTACATCTGCATTGTCAGTTGCACTGGCAGTTGTGTTCCTTGTGGTGACTGTGGGAATCACCGTTTACAAGATAGTAAATGGAACTGTTGTGAAGCCTAGATTGCTTCCAGATGTTTATGATCTGACTTCATTCTTGAAGCTATTCACTGTGGTTCCAGTCCTTGTCACTGCTTATATATGCCATTATAATGGTATGCAAAATTCTGGTGGAATTTTTTTCCCATATCTTAACTTTGTTGTGCTGTCATTATGATAGAAACCATTTCAGTCTAGCTTTATGCAGCTTATCATCCATATAAACCACTTCCTTACTACATGTACTCGGAAACAACAACAACAACCCAGTTGAATCCCACAACAGTAGGGTTTGGGGAGGGTGTGTGTACGCAGACCTTGCCCCTACTCGGAAGTAGGGAGGCTGTTTCCAAGAGACCCCCGGCTCCACCTGCACAAAAATATGGAAGAGAACACAGTATAGCACAGATAAGGCACCAAGTACAAGCAACAAGTACAAACAATAGCAAAAGATTCCCAACAAATACAACACACTACAAAACAACCTCTACAACACCGAGCTCCTATCCAGCTACTCTAATCCNAGTTCTCCAAAGGTTCCTATCTAGGGCCATATCCTCAGTCAGGTCGAGAAGTCCTAAATCCTGTCTTATCACCTCCTCCCAATTCTTCTTAGGTCTACCCCTTCCCCTACTTCCCCCGATAACTGTAATCCTCTCGCATCTCCGTACAGGGGCGTCAGCATCCCGCCGTCTCACATGGCCAAGCCACCTCAACCTCGCTTCCCGCAACTTGTCTTCCACCGGTGCCATACATGTACTCGGAAAATGGTAGGAAAAGGAAAAATAAATGCTAAGGAAAATGTTTTTTTAAATGTTTTGATTTACTTTACAAATACAACAACGAACAAAAAGCCTTATCCCACTAGGTGGGGTCGGCTACATGGATCAAAAGACGCCATTGCGCCTCTATGAGATCATTCACGCAAAGGTCCCCTATGACCACTTGTTGTCAAGTCTTCCTAGGTCTACCTCTCCCTCTAGCCACATGTCTATTCACGATTTGATCAAGCCTTCTCTACGGATGCTGTATTGGTCTTCTCTCTACTTGTCCAAACAACCTAAGATGAGTTTCCACCATCTTTTCTACATTAGGTGCCACTCCAACTTAAGCACTCATATCTTCATGAGTTCATTCCTTATTTTATCCATAAGCGTATGGTCGCTCATCCAACGGAGCATCTTCATTTCCCCCACACTAACCTTGTGTTCATGTTCAGCCTTTGCTGCCCAACACTCTGTTCCATACAAGTCAAATTTAACTAAAACTTTCTGAAATTTACATTTATACAGAGTATAAATTTTCTTTTCCGAAATTAATAAATAAAATGAGTTTTGAACGAATAGCCAACAATGATCAATCGAGTTGGAGCCTTATTTTTATTTTCCTCCCTTATTGTCTTTTGTTCCAAGTTTCCCCCCGCATCCCAAACTAGTGGGGTTCTTTCATAAAATGCAATGATCAACTACAATGAATTTTCTTTAAAATTGCATTCTTAAAAAAATAATTGTAAGTCTAGTTTGTGTGATTCTCATATGATTGATGTATCACTTAGTCACTACATTCTTGATTAAAAAAACCACTCCAAAACTGAATGTTTTTTGCAGTTCACAGCATTGACAATGAACTTGAGGACAACACACAAATAAAACCAGTGGTTAGGGCCGCACTCATACTCTGCTCAAGCGTGTATGTGCTGACAAGCATCTTTGGGTTCCTCCTGTTTGGGGACGCAACTCTGGACGATGTTCTTGCAAACTTTGATACAGATCTTGGGATGCCATTCGGTTCTCTTTTCAACGATGTGGTTCGCGTCAGCTATGCTGCCCACCTGATGCTAGTCTTCCCAATCGTGTTCTATCCCTTGAGACTCAACTTGGATGGTCTGCTCTTTCCATCTTCTAGGCCTTTGGTGCTTGACAATGTGAGGTTTGGATTGATCAGCGCTGGGCTTATATCTGTCATCTTCCTTGGCGCGAATTTCATTCCCAGCATTTGGGATGCTTTCCAATTCACGGGCGCAACGGCTGCTGTTTGTGTTGGCTTCATATTTCCTGCTGCCGTTACTCTTAGGTAACTCTACTCACTCTTTTTCCTTAACACTCTCTATGCACATAACTAAAATATTTTTCCTTTATCGTCCTTTTTACTACCTCCGTCCCAGTGTATTTGTCCAGTTTGATTTTTTTGAGTCAAACTGGACAAACTTTGAACTCCAATTATTCTCAATTTATATTGCATATTATCATAATGAAATACAATTTTGATAGTTCTCTATATGGTAAATCCAATAGTCATTTTTATGTTAAAATAGATTACTGTTTTTATTTAATTAAAGCTCAAAGTTTGTCCAGTTTGACTTGAAAAAGTCAAAATGGACAAATACACTGGGACGGAGGGAGTATTCATTTTTTTTCCCTACAACTTTTTATTGTCACAATTCCTTGCAAAGTAGCATTTGTTTGAACTATTGTTTGTGTTCCAGGGACCGGTATGGCATATCATCAAAAAAGGACAAGACGTTGTGTACCGTTATGATAGTCATTGCCGTGCTATCAAATCTGATTGCTATATACAGCGATGCGTATGCCTTGCTTAAGAAGAGCGCACCGTTGCGCGTATGATTTCTCATGTTGTCACTTGGTGGCTTTGTCATCGTACACATGATTTTTATGATGTACTCCGTTATATAGATATAGGGAAAGTGGCATTTTTTATTGGAGTTGAGTTTGAAATAAAGGTGTGAATATGTATGTAGAGTTTGCTTTGTATAGACCCGGCCGGGCACTACTATTGCCTTCACGGTATATCTGTTTGTACCATTTTTTTCATAGGAGGGACCGCCTTAGTCTTAGCGCAACGGTTCAAGGGTTTTCATGGGACTCTGAGGTCACGAGTTCGAACAGCCTCATATGAGGTCAGATTTTCTTATATCTCACACTCCTCGGGCCCTACTTTTGTGTGATTAAACTGGGTTGTTGTTGTTTGGACACCTTTATGGTGTGCGATGCGTGCTCATCAGGATGCTTTGTGAACTGGGATGTTCTCTTTTTTGCTTTGTTTTTGTTCAAATGTATCGTGAGTTGTATAAACGAACGAATGGTTGCCATGGATGTTCATGGCTTCTCTTCCAATGTCTACATATGTTCTTGGTATGGCTTGCTCTTTGGTTTCCTTATCTTAGTTGCCTTTTCAATATCCCACATTTTACTTCGTTTGATATTAGTTTTCGCGCTTTGAAAATGTTAGTCGAAAATAGATTTTTTAGTTTTAATATTTTCAAAGTTAATTTGAACTTAATGTTAGTCACAAATGTTGTTCCCAACCAAAACCTTGTTACTATCATACATGAATTAGTACATAAATTAGTTGCAAATCATTAAAGTTGACAAACCATTGGAATATTGGTTTAAGACCATGTTCTTAATTTATTTTTTTTATTTATTACTTATATTTATAGTCAAATAGTAATACTTTTTTTAATCATAAAATAAAAATAATCTAAATAAATAAATATATAAAAATTTGATACATCAAAATTATATTTTAAGATGATTCTAATTATTTCTAATTTTATCACAATTTATATTTAAAGAGTATCACTATTTGACTTAAAAAGTCAAAGCATGAAAAAATTGTTATGACTGGGAGTATAAAAGAGGAGAAAATGTGAAAAATAAGTAGATGGGTACTTTATACATTTAGATAATACTTTGGACATTGCACATCATACATTTTAAAATGAGTATTATGTTAAATTAAAATGTATTTTAATAACAAAAGAGCATTCATTAACAACATAAATAGCAAAAACATGATAAGATTATGAAATGCGCGTTGCTCTCACCAATAACTTTTGAATAAGATAGGGATATTGATTAGAGCAATGTTAGGGGTACACCTTTGGTGTACACCATTTGTCCCCCACCCCTCTCTCTACCACTCAATTTTATTTTATTTTTATTTATATAATTTTTTTTAGTTTCTTGCCTTTTTTTGTGGTTATGGAGGGGGTGTGGGACAAATGGGGTACACCAAAATGGTGTACCCCTAGCATTTTTCTATTGATTAATGAGCATCTACTTCAAAATGTCAAAATTTAAATGTGCATTATTTTTTCTTATAAAAGTAAGATAACAATAAATATCCTCAAAAACTTGTTACAGAAAAATGGTTGCACTTTAGTATGGTTGCAACTTGCAATTATCCAATAACAATCCTTTAAATAATGAGATAAAATGACAGAAAAATCTTGAAATTAATGGATTGTTATTGGTTAATTGCAACCATACTAAAGGGCTTTTCAATGGCTGGTCGCAAATCTCTCATGCAAGAATTAAGCATTCCTTGGTTACGTTCTTCTCATTCTTTTTCTTATTCATCTTCAAGTTTAAGTTCTTTTATAATCAAAAAATCAAATTTTTTAAATATCAATGTGTTATCTTTGGCAAAATTGAGAAAAATGGCGCAAATTAAAAGGATCCATTTGAATGCATGCAAGGTGTTTGATTAAATGCCGCTGATGCAAAAGCCTCCCTGTTAAAAATTTGGTTTGATTATAATATTCAGAGAGGGGGGGGGGATGCATGCTGGCATGAACCAGATTAAGAATTAAAGAAGCATTGAAAGAATGGAGGAGGAGAAGTCAGGGGAAAACAATGGAGCCACCACGCGCCACCGCCGTCGTTATCTAGCCAGAGAATTCGGTTCCAGGTTCCGGTCGCCTATTCTGTCAACAAGGCGTAGCCTTTCCCCAAATGTGAGGCAAGCAACAGCTGATGAAGAAACAGTTTCATCAGCTGATCGAACGCAGCCATCACCAGAAGCTATGAGGAACCATTCCCTTGGTGATGGTTTGTTGTTGGTGAAAAGGGAAGGAAATCAACACACGTTAAAGAAAATAGATTCTTTGAAATCTAAGGTTCTTGATCCACAGAGATGGCCAAGCACAGCAGGTGGGAAACCACCTTCAGAGTCAATTAAAAAAAGGTACTGATGATGGATTCGAACCACTTTCTTATGAAGACTGTCTTTGGATGCAGCTAATGAACCAACACAAGAATCTTCAAGAATGCTACCATTTGGTAAGGATGAGAAGGAAGAGATTGGTTCTCGTTCCGTTGAAGAAAATTCACTGAAAATAAGAAAGGGGTCTCGTCCTGCCTCGCCAACAAGAGGAAATATGCAATCTTTGCCTATATCAGAGAGTTCCAGATCATTGAGTAGCCTACACTCTGAGCTGCTAGATAGGTGGCCAGGTAGAACATGTGGGAAAGTTAGTTCTGATTCTTCAAATAGTGGTGCTGGTGGTAAAATTGATAGAAGTAGTGGAACTAGTTTACGGGCTCGCGCATTGTCTCTTGATGAACTTTCCAAACCACTGCAGAAATCTCCCACTCAAGGTGTGGGAGAGAATTCCACTTCAATAGATAGTCTACATTCCCAGTGGTTGAATCAAAGTAGATGGCCAAGCACAACAGGTGAAAAAACATCTTCAAATCCAATGAACAAAGATGCCGAATCGGGTAAAAGTAACATAAGACCTACATCCCCCTTACAAAGGTTGTCTTCAGATGGAGATGCCAAAATGGTACATAAATTATCCCGAGAAATGCAGCCATTTTCGCCATCACCTGAAGGTAAAAAAGCTGGCTTTGGGTCGCACCCAATAGTTTCACAGCCATCACGAAGAGAGATAACATCATTTGTAAATCCTGGCTCGCGATCTCGCCCAACCTCACCAAAAAGAGCGCCTACATTGCCTTCCACATTTCCCATAAGAGTTATTCCATCTGACTTGAAGGCTATATCAAGTGATACATCATTTTCTATGGCTCTGTCACAGAGATTGTCTTTGGATGGAGCTATTAAACCACTACAAAGTTCTTCTGGTGACATGCTACCACTAATAACATCAAATGAACATACAGGAGGAGGCTTGGGGGTTAGTTTGGTTAATAGTAACACTTTGACACCTGAGAGAAAAATTACACCATTCCTGACCCCCAACACCCGATCTCATCCTACTTCACCAGAGAAAGCAACTGAACTTTCGTCCTCTGTATCTGAAGCAGTTAGTCCATCTAGCAAAAAGGTTATGGCAAGTGATAGATCAATTTTTATAGGATCAAAAACACCCCCATTACAGAGAATGTCTTTGGAGAGTGAAAAAGGGATGTTCAGGTTTCATTCGGTTGATGATAATTATCTGTCACTACAAAGAGAAAGAACAACTTTGGTTAACTGCGGCACAAGATCTCGTCCTGCCTCACCAAATAAAGCATCTTCTCCGTATTTCTCTGCATCTCGAGCAATTCCGTCTCAATCAAAGGCTATAGCAAGTGCCTCATCAAGAGGAGTTAGTCCTTCTAAGGTCAGGCCATCTAGCCCATCAAGACCACCCAATCCAGCGATCATATTTTTAGGAGATATTCAGGAAAAAGATGAAAATCTAACAGAAGATGCTCATCAGTTAAGGCTATTACAGAACAGATACTTGCAATGGCGGTACGCTAATGCGAAAGCAGATGCTGCAATACATGCAGAGAATGTTGATACACAGGTTGACTTTATTTTCTGCTTCTTCCTATTCATCCATTCCATTACATATTTCACCAGTTTTTAGTTGGGTTTATATTTTGCCACAGGAAAATGCATATAATATGTGGAACGCTATTTCATGTTTGTGGAGAACAGTAACTGAGATGAGAACTAAAATTCAACAGCTGAAGCTGCAATTGAAGCTACACTCAATTTTGAATGAGCAGGTAATGAATGTGTGTATAAATTTTTTACTTGACTTTGACTCTTACCTTGTCTAATATCTGACTGCCACTTTTTTTTTAAACTACTTCAATGTACCTCAGATGTCTTACCTTGAAAAATGGGCTACAATTGAAAGGAACTACATACGCTCAGTATTGCGAGCTAGCCGAGATATGAAATCATGTGTCTTGCTTCTTCCCATGACAGGAGGAGCAAAGGTACGTAATTTCATTAGTGACGACTCATGTTAAGTTGATTGGTTAAACAAGATACACACGTGCCCACATACATGTATTGACTTTATTTTCTTTGCTTATTTAGACTGATATTCAATCTCTAAAGTCAGCTGTTAGCTCAGCCTTTGTCATGGGGCAGTATGTGGAATCATCAATATATTTAATGCTATCACAAGTGAGTATCATAATATATTCCTTAGAATCTCATACTCCGTATAAGCCATTTATGATCTTTCAGGTTAAATAAATCGTCATATGTTATCCACCAAATGATCTATTGATTTTGCATGTGTATATAACAGCTGGAGGGGACAAGCTTTCTAGCTTCTGAACTTGCCGGCATTGTGGCACAAGAGAGAGCTCTGCTTGAGGAATTTGAATTGCTAATGGCTCCAATAGCAGAGATGCAGGTGAAGTCGCTCACGAATTTGGTTGCGCACAAAATCTTTCATAAATTTCATTAAAATGTTACTCTCCGTAGCGTTATAGTAATTGAACTTGCATGTGAATGTGGCCAAACAAACCAAGATTGCTCTGTCATCATAGGCTCTGTTTGGAACTCTGAAAATGACCTGATAAGAAAAACAAGGAGAAAATAACAGGGGACAGTTTGAAGGAAAGTGAATGTCGGGGAAAATAAAATGTTGGTTCAAAATCAATTAAGTTACTGCTGATATTTGTTCACTCATTTTATTTATATATTTCTCGTCTAGTATAGTACTCCGTAGTATATAAATGACTAAGAAAGTTAAACATTTGTAAAAAAAAGCATTAATAATATTTTGTTTTCCTTCGTTTTTTTTTCCAAAGGAAAAACCAAACACAAAAATACTTTTCCTTTTCTAGCATTTTCAGGGACCCAAACATATCAATAGTAGACCTAGTGGTAACTTTAAAAAGTATTAAATTATGTTTTCCATGTCTTTTACCCATTATTTTTTCATAGTTGCTTGATTTTATATTGGCTGAAAGCAGGTAGAAGAATGTAGCCTTAGGACTTATCTTATGCAGTTGGGAACAAATATGCAAAAGCGGTAACCATTGATACGATCTTCTGCTGATATATAATCCACAAAAAGATTGCAGAGAGTGTACATGGATATGTAAGTAGGAATGCATAGTTTTATCTTCTCTTTTGGCTTACTTTTTATCCTTTTACTAACCCTTTTTGTCAGTTTAGCCTCTTAGTTATAGAAATGCCCAACTGCAGCCCCTCCACAAAAAGGCAATCAAGAGATGAGGAATAAGTAGTGTAAATGCTTTTCCCTTATTCTTTTGGTGGTTATCTTAGTCTCTGCCCTTCTTGTTTGGATTCCTCATAGATCTTGACAGGTTTGGATAGAGATGTATCGTTGTTTACGAAAGAAACACAATGTGATTGGATATATATAGAGTTTATAGATAAACGCGAAAAACATGGGGTTGACTTGGATGGAATCTGTAAGGGAACAAAAGAACAAAGATCAAGTTTATTGCTTTGGTTATGGTTGTTTTTGTTCTGATAAGCCTTTAGTTAGTTTATTACTGGTATTTGTATAGAATTTCCTAATTTACATTTTTCTGGAACAATGTCAATGTGAATAACAATTAGAATACATCTTTACTGATCTGTTTATCCACTCCCCCAAAAAATGGTGTTTTAGTGATGCATGATGATTTGTTTGTTGGGATTAGAAACCATATCCCATAAGGTACTCCAAATATTGGACTGTTGTGGTATATGTTTAACAAGTTTTTATCTCATGCTTGGCTTGATATTTTATATTATAAAAAAAGATGGGAAAGAAAAGAATAAATAAGTGACTTATACTCAGTAAATTTCATCTATGCATCTATATCACTATGATATATTTTTTCTGTCCCAAAAAAACACTACACTTTTCTTTTTTGGTTGTTCCAAAGTAAATAAAGAAAACTCTACACTTTATTTTTTATTTTGGTAATGAATATGTGGCTCAAAATAATGTCCTATCATATAAACAAAATTTGACCATACACTTTTTATTTTTCAACAACTTTCTTAAATTCTGTAAAAGTCAAATAACAAGGTTTTCATTTTATACAATGGCATGAGAATTTTAAGAATGACCCAGCTGTGGGGGAAGATTATTATCGCTTGCAACCCGATCCGTAACTTGATATATCCTTATTTTTTAAATAAATACGGAGTACTTCTTAGCCTTTAACGTTAGAGTTTAAAATACTCCCTCCGTTCTATAATGATCTTCCCAGAGCACTATTCCAACTTCACGGAAATTTATATTTATTTGTGTTTTTTCATGGCTTATATGATAATATAAAATATTCTTGTCACCCCTTGTTTTGTTGAACTTTTGATGTAGTTTTTAAATATGTATGTTTTATTTTTTATTTCTATACCAATATTTAAATAAAATAGATTGAAAAAACTTTTGATTTTTTTTCGTTTTGCGAACCGGGGAGATCATTATTGGATGGAGGGAGTATTTATTTAACAATAGTCCTTCACTGTTTTACGTTCAGTGTTTAGTCTTCTACGTCGCTACTCAATAATACGAGCCGCCGCTGGCCCGTCTGCTGACGCAAAAGATTCATCGCAGAACACCGGGAAACCTATCAAACGATTGCTCAATCTCGTCTTCATCTGGTGCATCCCAATCACCAAGCAATTTCAATTGTGCCTTTTCTTCCAATTCAGAGGTAAGATTGATCATGTTTTTGGGTGTTTTGTTCAATTTTGTGTGATTTGAGTTTATTTTATCGGTAATTCGAATTGGAGGGTACTGTGTTGATATAAGTGGATTGATGCTGATTCAACTTGTACTTTTTATTATACGGAATTTGTAATTGAAGATTGGTTTTCGTCAGACGATAATCAAGAATCTAGTTTTTGATTATTGCTTTGAGTTTCATTATGAATAAACTGAGCTCCTGTGATAAAAGCTTGTTGCCAAATGTGTGATTTAGGGAGACAGTTTGGAGACTTACTGATTTTTTATCTGTTAAATGAAAAAGTTTCTCTTTGATTGACAATGAGCTTATTTTAGGTAAAAAATACATAGGATAACTTTCATTGATATCTTTTATTATCTTAAGGTGTACTGAGTATATAATATTTTACACTTCATATAGTCTTTTGTCAATTATGTGTTTCTTGAAATTAATATCACCCGCTTCACTCATGGGTGATGGATGGATCGGGTAATGGGTGATGTATGAAACAAATGATGGACAGATCAGGTGATAGATGCAGAGTTAATGAATGGATGAGGGTGAAGCTCCACCTGATCCAGACCCGACCCATTGCCTTCCCTAAACAATAACACAAAAACACTTCCATACAATGCTGGATGAATTTAATAACTGTAGCATGCTTAGGCTAGTGAGGGCCTGTGTTTTCTTCCGTCTATGGAACCCAAGTTAGATTTTCACTTTTAGGGTCTCTTTGGTTGGGAGAATATTTCCATCATCTCCGATGGAGCCAAAATTTCACCGTTTTTGGCTTTGGGGTGTGATGGAATAAAACAAAATAGATCTCTAAAATGTCTGCGCTTCTTTAATTAATGAAGTAGCAGTTAGTCAAGCAATGCAACTTTCGACGTTGAGCCGGGGGTCTCTTTGGAAACAGCCTCTCTACTTTTGAGTAGGGGTAAGGTCAGCGTACACACACCCTCCCCAGACCCTACTCTTGTGGGATTCAACTGGGTTGTTGTCGTCGTTGGTTGGGAGAATATATTTTTCATAAAATTAATTTTCAAGGGTTAATGATATCCAAGAAAAAATGTTTTTCATCACATTTTTTAGTGTTTGGTCTGAAGAAAATGTTTCTCCCAAAAAAAACAATTCTCATTGTTAATATTTTAAAATTAATATTTAAAAAAATATTTTGAAACAATTTAAAAATATCATAACAGCATGGGAGAGCAGGTGACGTGAGGTGGCGGGGTGTGTTGGCGTAGGGTGGTGGGGGACAA